GTCATTTTTAAACTTAAAGTGTTTTTCAACTGCTGTTATATGAAAAGAAGCATTCTGATCACCAAATCTATTCAGAAAATTCAACACATAAGTAACCTTATCTAATTTCTCCTGAGGAGATAAACCAAGAGTTCCCCCTTTTTGTTTTGAAAGCAAATTTTTTAAGGTTTGATGTGCTCGTTCTACTATTGCCTGGCCAGTGGGGTTGTGGGGAATTCCTGTAACATGATTTATTCCCCAATCAGAAAAAAATTTAGCAGTTTCTTTTGCAACGTATGAGGGTCCATTATCTGTTTTGATGGTATGAGGGACTCCCATACGTGCAAAAGCTGCTAAGAAATGTTTCTTAACATCATGAGTTTTTTCACCCGAATGGGCAGTAGCCACTATAAATTTAGAAAAGGTGTCAATTGATACATGAATATATTTTAGTTTGCCAAATTCATTGAAGTGTGTAACATCGGATTGCCAAATTTCAAGAGGCTCAAGACCTCTAGGATTTATGCCCTCTGATTTTAATGGAGCTACTGCCTGGCAGTCAGGGCAACTTTTTAGAATTTCTTTTGCTTGAGAGATTGTAAGACCGAATTGTTTATGTAGAGCCTTAGCATTCTGGTGAAAAAACTGGTGAGATATTCGCGCTTGCTGTAATAAATTTGGGATGACCGACATACCTGCCAATTGATCTGCACGATAATTACCTTCCGCCACTGGTCCAGGGAGAGTAGTGTGAGATCTTGTGTGTGTGATGAAGAAAGAGTGCTGCCTATGATTAATGTAAAACATAAGGGAAGTGAGTAAACTATAAAGCAATTTGTTAGAAACATACTTAAGATATGAGTTCTCAATCCGGGAAACTATGCCCACAACATAAGATGAGTCAGAAATAATATTAATTGCTTCAGAAGAAAAAATAGAGAAAACTTTAACAACAGCTGAAAGCTCCACTAGCTGAGGTGACCCTGGAGCTTTGTGGATGTCGTGTTTTCAGGAATCACCTTCCTTCCACACAGCGACAGCATTACCAGTTTTTCCAGAATCATCTGTAAATACAGTCCTAGCATGCTGAAGGGGAACACAGGAGAGTAATATTTTCGGCTGAACCTGAACTGGAATTAGTCTCTGTAAAAAAGGACATGCCGGTAAATGGAATTTAAATATACCTTGGTAATCTGCTGTAGCTATTTGAAAATCAACAGAAGATACAAGTAATTGGTCAAAATGAAAAGAAGTCAAAGGTAAATAAATAAAATCCGGGTCTTTCCCACAAAGTTCAATACAATGAAAACGACCCTTAAAACACAATTTTGAAAGCATTTCAGGTAATGTAGTTAACGTTTTTGCAAACTGATGAGGTAAAAATAACCATTCCCATAAACAAAAATTTGTATCATTAAAATAAAATTGTCCTAAAATAGCTGCAGGTTGAGTACCATTCTGGATAATTACTAAGGAAGTTGGTGAGTCTGGTATAATTCTGTTGGCTTGTCTAGTTGAAATTTTTTGTTCCACTAACTGTAATGATTGTTGTGCTTCTGGAGTGAGAGATCTGGGTGAAGTAAGTGCAGGGTCACCTTTAAGTAAATTAAATAAAGGGTTCAGGTCTTGTGTGGAAATTCCTAAAATTGGTCTGATCCAATTTATAGCTCCCAAGAGTTTTTGTAAATCATTCAATGTTTTAATATCTGTTTTAATTTTAATTGACTGAGGGGTTATTGTTGATTCAGTAATTTTAAGGCCCAAATATTTCCATGGAGAAGACTTTTGAACTTTTTCAAGGGAAATGTGTAAACCATTAGAATTGAGTATAGAAATAGTAGCTGAGAGGGTTAGTTGCACTTCATGATCCGTTTGAGCACAAATTAAAATATCATCCATATAGTGCAAAATAATGGATTTTGGAAATTTAGAACAGATAGGGGAGAGGACATGGGAAACAAAAAGTTGACATAAAGTGGGAGAATTTTTCATCCCTTGTGGTAAAACCCTCTATTGATAACGCTGGTGAGGTTGATTGCAATTCAAGGAGGGGACAGAAAAAGCAAATTTGGGAACATCAATCGGATTTAAATAAATATGAAAAAAGCAATCCTTAATATCCACTATAACTATGGGCCACTCAGCGGGTAGCATTGATGGTGATGGCATACCCTGCTGGAGTGAACCCATTGGCTCAAGGACAGCGTTGATTTTTCTGAGGTCTTGAAGTAGCCTCCAAGACCCAGAAGGTTTTTTGATGACAAATATGGGGGTGTTCCATGGGCTTGTGGATGGTTCTATGTGTTTTTTATCTAGTTGTTCTTTAACTAATTGTTGCAAGGCTTGCAGCTTCTCTAAAGGTAGGGGCCACTGATCCACCCAAACTGGGTCTGATGTTTTCCAGTGTAGTGGTGGGAGCTGCAAAACACCAGTGGCCCTGTTTACAAATTTGATTGCAAGCCCATACCCCATTGCATTAGGGAATCACGACCCCACAAGGTTAAAGGAATATCAAGGATAAATGGAAAAATTGATGCTAACCTCTCCTCAGGACCTTGGATTTGAATCAACTTTGCACTTTTAAGGGGAATTTGTGACCCACCTACTTCATTAATGTTAATAATTGTCTGTGTGGTTTCCCACTCAGACGGCCAGTCTCTCTTTGCTAGAATAGTTACATCTGCACCTGTGTCAATTAGGCCTGTAACACTGACAGATTGTGGTTGTTTTTGTTCTGTATGTGTTAGCAGGCAGGATATAATTGGACGACACGTGGTAATAGGACAAGACCAATTAACAGATATTTGATTTTGAATAGTGTTATGTAGTGTAGTAAAATAAGTAAGTGGTATTAATGTGGCAATAGGATGCCTTTGAAAGATTTGTACTGGAGGGTTGGAAACTGAAATTGGAATACAAGTCTGTTCGGATTGCAGGTTCTGTAAAAGCATTGGAATAATAAATAAACCTTTAGGTATACAAATAGGGTTAGAAATCAGTAAATGCACTTCATCAACTGAAACGGGATAAGAGGGTGTAACTCTTAATAATAAATTCTGATCTGTCAATATTGTTACAGGTGAAATGGGGTGTAGGGAGATACAACATAAATTTCTATCATCATCAAGCGAATTTTGAGGAGTATTCAGCTCAGGGAAAATCGATTGTGAGGGGTCTGGGAAAATAGGGGGGAATTTAATGTCTTCGCGCCCCCCCGGGCGCTCGCAGGGGAGTTTCCCTGCTGAGTACTATTAAATAAAGGGATATTCTCACATGATTTGAAAGAAACCTTACGACGTAATTTAGGGGATTTGGAAGTCAGGGGATTACCATGTACATCTTTAATTGATCTACAATCTTTTGTCCAATGTTTTCCTTTACCACACCTTTGACACAAGGTTTTAGGAAAAGTGGGAGTGTTGGGTGTAGGTTGAGAGTTAAGTAGGGGACAATGTTTTTTAATATGTCCCTTCTGCCCACAGTGGAAGCATGAATTGGGACCAGAAAGAGCAGCAGCCATTAATTTAGCTTTGTGGGTGTTGGAGTTAATATATTTGCATGCCTCTATCATTTCTAATAAAGTTGGTTCTTTTAAGTATTTGAGTGCATGCTGGCATTCTTGATTTGCATTTTCAATTGCCAGTTTACGAAACAGAATTTCCTGAGACTCTTTCTGGTCAACTTGTTTAACTATTGCTTCCTTCAGTCTAGTTATGAAATCAACAAATGGCTCGTCCTGACCTTGTCTTATTAAAGTAAATGAAGGGGCAGAAGCATAGGCATCTGCTACCTTCTTAATAGCTTGTAATGCCAAATCTTTTGAAATATCCAGGTATTGTTTTGGAATGGAAATCTGGTTGTCCCTGTTTGAAAACGTACCATCACCATAAAGCATCTGTTTGAGATGGTCAGGAGGAGTCTTTTTATGTGATAATTTGTCACTGACATGTTTGTTAATTAAGGTTTTCCATTCGTTTTCAAAAACTGAATTTTGCACCGTTGTTAATAAACCCTTAGATATCATTCTAATATCATAAGGTATTAAAGTATATGCCTGAAACAATGATTCAAATAGTCCAATAGTAAAAGGTGCACCTAACCCATAATCAATTATAGCCTTTTTTATGTCTTTTAAAATAGGATATGATATCGGTGTCCATTTAGGTTCAGGTCCCTCTTCACAAAAAATTGGGAAGGCTTTCAGGAACTCAGTGTCGCCTGCTTGCAGCGCCTGAGCCTTGCATTCCTTCCAAACGTCAACGTGGGAAATAAGGCTAGGTGTGTAGGCTGGTTGCCGATCCTGCCAGTCATGGGGGCCGCCGTGTTGCCGGATGTTTACGCCAGAAGTGGCTTTACCACCATCTTTTTAATCAGGCCCTCATGACTTCCGGGTGATGACGTGGGTGAGGAGGCTGAACTAGGGGCGGAGGCTAGAGTGTGGGCGTGACGTGGGCGGGGCTTCGCGACGGTGTAATTTTCGCGCGCTGGGTGTTCCCGCGACGCAACGAAGCTACGCCTCCCTCCCTCAGAGCCGCCGCCATGATGTGGTGGATCGGGGTTCAAGCTCCCCCCCTCAGGATCGCCGCCATTTTGTGAAAAGTTAGTCGGCTTGTCCCGTGAATTTCTAACTTTGTCAGCGCGTCTTTTTAAGGTGGCATACGGGTCCCGGGAATATCGGTGTGGTGACGGTGGAGGAGAGACAGAATCCGTTTTCGTCATCTGGTCCTTTAAAACCATCAGAACTGCCCTCCATGCCTCCAATGCCGACTCCGCGCCCGAGACTTTATTCTTTTTATCAGTCCATATGTAAAAACCTATCTCGTCCCAGTCCTGAGCATTAAAGACTTGCGGGACGCGTTCTCTTTTAACATCGAGCCATTTCGCCAAGGATTTAAGAGACCTTTTATCGGGCGTCTGGCCGTGTTGTAAAATTAAGGTTTTTAAGTGTCGGTATTTTTCTCGCTCTGATGTTGATAAGCGGGCACCCATTTTTAGTTGCAGGGGGTGGAGGCAGGGAAGGGATTAGGGTCTACCCCAGCTTCTCACCTTTCTCTGCCGGCGGTGAAAGGTGCGGAGGGAACCGACAATCCTTAGCTGTCCGCTGTCCAGCTGGGGGTGGCTGCCGGGAAGAACACCTCAACCCGGGGTCTTCAGTATCCCAGGCGAGCACTCTGGAGTCTTCTCAATATGAGAAGCCTCTTACAGAGCCCCACGTTGGGCGCCATTATGCCACAGCCCGTTAAGGAGGGGGAGACGGACGCCACTGTTGTTGGAGTGCTCAGCTGGGATTTTTATTAAGCGCTCTGCCAAAAACTCGGGGTAGAACAGCAGGGCTGCAACAATAAGGGGTGTCACCAGCTAGAGAGCCAAGATGGCATCCCCGGGTGAGGGACGAACCGGGGTTTATATAGGGTCTGTGGGAGAAGGGGCTAGAACATGAGCGGAGTTTGAGGATTGGCAGGGGGTACAACCAATAGGAAACCGTACAGAAAACACGTCGATATTAACAACCAATAGAATAACAAATCCCCTCAGCTAGGTTCCACCTCTGCTGCAGCTGTAACCGTCCAATCCTAGCTGAGGGTTTTTAACCAATAGGAAAACTGGATTTTATGAGGGGAATGAAAACCGGGAACAAAACCTATTTTAATATAATAAAATCATAACT